GTTGTGTGATGTTGCGAGTAGGTTGGGTGTTTTCCATCTTAAAAAATGCCTAAACAGAATATTTCATTTCAAAACCTTTTCCACTAACATTCTGCAATGTCATTTGTATAAAGTTATCAGTAGGTATTTGTACTTTCACCGTTTTATGATTCCCACCAGCTTTTTAATATCTCCAAACGGCAGTCTACTTGATACCGCTTAGCGGTTTGCAAATTTATACAGCTTATTATAAGAAAATAGAAACCTACTGGAGTAAATAAAAGATAAAGCGCTTTCCTAGCCCACTGCCAGCGATAAGGACCAGATACCCGGTCTTAATACTAACAAGGTGCATTGTTAAGTGTCTAAATAGAACCGCGGCTATATTGCGAGGTTTTCACTTTAGTCGAACAATAGACGAATTGATTAGGGTGCTGGCAATTCTAATGCCAGCTTGGTTCTTGATGGGAAGTGGTTGTTTTTTTTGTGGCAGAGACTTGGCTGAAATTCATTTAAACATTTCAATGTTATTGTGGTTCTTCTGTCAAAGAGAGATAGGTAGGTATTTCTATAATCATTGTGTGTACCATAAGCATGTACACATGTAATGTTTATTATTTAATATACACCCATGCTCTAAAACGTCTATAAAAGATTCTGAAACAGTTAGATTACTACCAACATTAAAACATTCAATGTCCCAATAACCATAACACAGGGTGTAAAAAAACATTTAACGAAGTCGAAGGCCACGTATTTTCCACATCATGACGATATTTTTTTCTTCTGGACCATATGTTATGGCTGGAAATTTATGGTTATGGAGATATTGAAGATCAAAGTCACAATATTTTTTTCTAGATTTTTACAAAAACATTATTTCGAAACTTTTTTATCGACGCACTTACACACACGCACGAACATACACACAGACACATTGTTTGCGTAGCGCCACAGTAGAGCGCCGCGCTATACATTGCGAACTAGAAAAAAAAATTACCTCAAAAATACAAATGTTTACTTACTTTGTAATATTACTTTTTTGGGTGTACAGAATGCGTAGTTTTAGTCTTTATCATAGTTTTTTTTTACACCCTGTATCTAAATCCAGTTTATCAAACGGATGAACTTTCAGAATTTTCAATAGATGATTCATATCATAGATGTAGATAAAGTCTTGTAGGCAACTGTTTATTATTAGGTATTAAAACATTCATATGATACCATTGTCACATTTCGCTTCGTCTCGTGGTATGTAAACCCACAGTCGTGTTTTAATACCGTCATTTTAATAAAGTTGCATTAATAACTATAAGTTTTATAATGTTTTATTTAATCTTAGTTAATTACATTCCTTCTCTATTTAAACTTGTATTATGCATAATATAACATTTTTTCATGAGCAAGGTGTGCTTGAAAAGGTGTACGACACTTTTCCCATAACGTATTAATATAATGATTTCGAAATAATAATAGGGTATGTCCAATTCCATTTGGTGCCATGTTACGACATGAGTTCAGATTTTAACAGACCGATTTCCTTTACCGCAGCGACGGAATTGTGACCGTTCCGAAATTGGTGCCATTTTGACATTACACCGCGTTTGCGCAAGGAATAGGCAGTCACGATTTTATTATTTCTGTTGCAAAACACAAAGAACTATTTCCACCGGTCTTGTCAGGTTGATAGAATACTTAGTTTTTAGTTTTCTTTTGATTGTACTTACTTTGTTAATGTTTAAGTGTAAAAAACTGATGGTAGGGAAAAAAATATGGACGATTCAAAAGAGTAGTATTGTGCATCCAATTTGTATAAAGATTATTTTAAACTTTTGACTTTTGTACTAATTGCTTATGAAGCTATGATTTTTACTATTGAATCCATTTCAAATTAGGTGTTATTTAATATAAAAAGAAATCAATTCAATAATTTCTTTATTATCGGCATAATATTATGAATCATTTGCTATTTAATTGAAGTAGAATACTTACATTACCTGCTATATTTTTAGAATTTAACTGCTAGATGTTCAAATCTACAGATTTTTTACGGTCGAGGTTGCAGACTACAATTGCTATTTCTTTATTGATATTTATAATACTTAAGGTATTTAGTTTGACATTGCGGATTACCTACAGTGCGAAGAGATAGCGCTGCCTTACTACCTACAAAATACTAGAAGATATTCGACACGGTCATTAAGGTCGCAGTACCATAGGTGATCAGCGCATCCACCCGGATAGCGGAGGGTGCGAGCATAACTATTAAGTAATTTGACCGCGTGGAATTATTTCTAGTAAAACTTCTTTTTTAAATTAGAATACATTACTTTAAAATAAAAATAACAAATAGCTGAAGCTTGCTCAATTTTATGTATTTGTTGTCAGGTAGCACGAATTCAACAGTAATTGATACTATGTAATGAGAAAGGGGCAGATTTAATTCCATGGGATAATTTCCAATGAACTGGAGCAGGGGAAGGGGAAGCAAGCGAGCCAGTCGCACCGGTAATTAAAACCGGATTGTCCGTTTTAACCGGCTTTGATCTGGACCGATGCTAGCGCCATGTTTCCGGTAACAAAATCAATTTAGTACGATATTGTCTGGAACTAGGAGTATCAATCATTTGCTGTGTCCCATTATCCCTATGTGAATTAATAATATTATCATTATGATGAGTATTTTTGTTTGCTTTTTCTAGGAAGACTTTGAGAGAGATAAATAGGGATAAGAACACAGAAACTAATTAATGAAAATAAAAATAATAATAAAAATGCTACTGTATCTAATTCATCAAATTTTTAAGGCATAAGCCACGAGTACTACTTCTTCATATAAATTTTGAATTATGCAAAAATGTCACATTGTCAATCAATCTCTTATCAAAAAGAGAACTATCAAAGTGTGAATAAATTATATTCTACTAATATTATAAACTAGCGGCCGGCCGCGACTCTGTCCGCGTTAACTTTGGTTATTTGCGAATCCGATTCAATAAATAAATACTATCAACAGCTCACATCAACTACTTATATTATTTTTTTCTAGTAAAACTTTTCTTTAGTTTTAAACATCTAGCAGTTAAATGCTCAAAAATAAAAAAAAACATAACTATAATTGCTATTTCTTCTTTCAAATGTTTAATACTTGAAAAAGTATTCATTTGACATTGTGGGTTACCTACAATGCGAAGAGATGGCGCTGCCTTGCAGCTTAAGGTTAGGAAAATTTCGACGCGGCCATCAGGGCCGTGGTAGCATAATTAGTCAGTGCATTCGCCCGGATCGCGAACGGTGCGGGTTCGAGTCCCATCCGCTGCCTGGTCCGCGTGGATTTTTTCTAGTAAAACTTTTCTTTAGATTTCAACATCTAGCAGTCTAATGCTTAAAAATAAATAAAAACATACTTATGTTGTATCAAGTAAGCAGACAAGGCTGTGAAGTATACTTCATGCGTTACATAATAAGAAACACGTATGAAATTTAAAATAGTGTAAGAACATTAAACATTTATTTGTTGTAACTTAACTTTTAATCAATGACCAGAAGGTCATTACGAGTAATGGATAATAAATGCCTTTTGAAAATTTCCATTATTAACAACAGAACTTTTAAAGCGGATATAATTTTATTTATTTGAAGCATCTATAAAGAAGAAAATAAACTAATCAATTATGACTGTCTGAAAGCAAGCGGCCACAAAAATATTGAGAGATACCATGTCATTAAATTTTCACTTTATTTATGCAATTCGTAATTTATCAACTTAGCAGAAGTATTGTCAGTAGTTTTCGGACTTGTAATACGAAAACAATAATTCGCCGATTAAACGGTCAGAGGCTATCTGACAAAGGTATTGCAGAGGGTGATGCCAAAACAATGCGAGGTTCAATCCGTTACAACCGGCACTTAGAATTAGACCCACAGATTAGTGATTGGTACTATTGAAAGGTACGGTAAGGCGTGACTTTGTGAGTTGCTATTATTAATTATTGACTTGAAACCTACATTTTGCCAAAGGTCCTATAAAAAAGGTATGAAATACTATAAAAAAACAAAATAATGCTATTTGTAAGTTTTTGATGCATTACTGAAACTGATGTAAATTCAGAACAGTGAACACACTGTAAGGGTGTTCTAGTTGTCAAATTCCCTTCGTTTGTGTGACCCTGCCACTACTTGATCGCGTTTATATGAACTGAAGTACTATTCTGTCAGAACAAACTCACATTTCACCTCGGAAGCCGCGGCGTGATTTAAAATCAGAACACGAATTTAATATAAATTTCAAAACACACCGGCGAATTCTGCGGAAAAGTGAGTTTTGTTCTTACAGAATAGCACTGCTGAATGGTATTTCAAGAGAGGCCTTAATATTTAATTTTTCAGTGGGTATAAATTGCGTATAAATTAATTTTATACGATTGACATTAAGGACCCTTTTTGGGTTCCCTAGTCACTTGTTATAATGTAAATGTTGTGACCACGGAACTTGAAAGGGACTGGGACGCACAATCGTATTTAAATATGCTCCCTTTATACCTAACCCGTTTAACAATGCTTTATTGAGTTTAAAAAACATTTATCTCTCGTCTTGCTAAACGATTGCTGTTTGTCAATGTACCTATATATATATATATATGTATATATATAGTATTCATCAATATAATACTTTAAGTACTGCTGATTATGTGAAATACAGAAAATTAAATAATTACATTAATAACAACTTACATCTCTTATCTATTAGACAAGTCCGTCCGTCCGTCCGTGGTGCTGTTTCAGCGGCCAAACCGTAAGAGATAGATATAGAGAATGTTTAAGTTATAAGTTAAGAATAGTCTGATAAGACTACAAACCGGATGTGAGTAACGTAGCACTTCCGGTTTTCGAGAAATCACGTGATTTCTATTTCAAACGAAACCACACAAAATCTCCGAAGTTCTCAATTAATTAAATACATTTTTTTTTTGTTGGTAAACATTTGGTTCACTGGTTTGCTAGTAATAATCTATTTCAGAATGCGATTATCTGAAGGCTTAATGTTATTATTTAGTCCTAGAGTTAGTTAAAAAAAAAACATTGCAAGCAAATAATATACAGTAGAGCTGCGACAATTCCACAAACGTTTGCTAGGATTATCGAATTTGTTGGATTATAAAGTACTGCCTAACACTGCCCTCCATAGTCTGTTTTTTTATATGTAAAACTAACTTGTACATTTTTTACCTGATCTGATGTGTGAAATCAGCAGTAATAGACGTGTTGGATTACAGCGGGCGCCGGATTTGTCCTCGCCCGAATTACCGCGGATCGACATTTCCCATTTATTAATATATATTTATTTTCTATTTTCAGATCTACGACACTACTGAGAATACACGGCCTAAGAAATGGTCATCAAAGTTGAAATTGAACACATCAGGCAGCTCGAAATCTTCAGAAAAATCTCCGGAGAGTCCTTATATGTACGGAACTATAGGGCCTGGAGGTTCATCTTTATCAAAATCAATGAAGTATGCAGAGACCTGGTTGTATGGGTCCGTTAGGACTCAAACCTCGCCAATTAGACCAAGTGTGTTCTCTGCTTATCCTGAAGTACCTGGCCCTGTATTAATAAGCACTCCTCAAAAACCTCAACCGCATAATTATGCGGTTATTCTGTGTTCCTGTCCCGAATATTTAAATGGGACGAAAAAAACCAGCTCTACCAAAGTCAGTATTTGTAAGAAATGCAAAGGATCTCGGTTGCCATTAACCATAGCTGAAAGCCCACGATTATTGCTAGGAGGTACCGTTAGAGGTCCACAAGTTAGTCGTGATAATGGTTTATTAAGAGCTGGAACGGTAAGAGTACAAGGATCAAAGTCAAGACCCACAATATTAAAGAATAATGGGGAAGCAGACCCATACGATTTGATGAGAAGAAGTAGACTTGCACCACCACATGAGACAAGGATCGGCAGTCAATTCTCAACGACACGGTCGCGAGCTAAAAGTATAAGTCCTTGCAGAGCTAAAACTAAAAAACCAAGTCCAGAGACTCTTCGCAAGAGCAGAAGCAAATCTGTAAGTCGTGTAAATGATTTGTGGATAGAAGAGGAAACAAATGCTAATGAGTCAAATAAGTCCATTTTAGCTTGTGACATAAATCCCTACGACCTAGTTAAGTCAAATGGAAACTCAAAGTCTTTAGCTGAAATTGAATTCGATGACGATTATTGTGACATATTTCAGGAGTCATTAAAAAATAATTCTTTAAACAAATCTAAATGCGATACAAATGTTAAAGCAATTAGTGGTCAAAGAATAAGGGTTTCCGATGATTCTAAATCATGCACAGTTGATGAAGTGTATGGTCCTATCAATTATGATCTCAAAAAATCAGATAATAAATCTTCGGAAGTATCAACGTCTGCTTACTTGCCAAATATTAAAAATGAACCTAAAAAATCTATGTCGTTAAGTAAAACTACTGGCAAGAAGTTGACAAACATTTCAATTCACAATCGTACAAAACAAAAAAGTACTTCTCCTAAGCGCCCACCACGTAGGATAAGAAATATCAAAACTGATGACGACAGTGAAAGTGACAACCAGCGCTTTCCAGATAGACATACCTCTAGAAAATCTGGAAGTGATTCAACACGACACCCTAAATATAAGAATCAAAACAATGATACTATAAAGTCAATTCTGAAAAAGCCCAGAAACTATGACTCCCATGATGTGAGTAAAAGAATTGATACATCAGATGATTCATTTGAGAGTAAGAAATTTAATTCATCTCAGTTTTACATACCAAAACCTAAAGAAAAAGTATTACATTCGCAAAATGTATTTCAACGTAAACGCGTGCAATTTTTGGTAGAAAGTGATGAAACGAAAGTAATTTATACTGCAGAACTTAATCTAGAACAAAATATAATATCTGAGAAAGTTCCAGAAGTAATCGTCGAATCAGAAGAAGATATAGTGGCAAAGGGAGATGTGGTAAGCCATAGCTTAAACGAGGAAACTGAAATTTCGCAGCTTATAAATCAAGAAATAAGAAGTGAAACGAGAGTTTACGAAGACATACAAATAAATAATATATTTCAAACATTTACTGATGATAAAGCCCAGATTCATATTTCGACTGCTGAGCACGACGTATTTAAAGTTTCTAATACTGTGGCTAATACAGAAGGTAAACAATACAAACTATTTTATTTTTTATTTTATTTATTTGGACAACCAACAAGAACATACACCTTACATGCTAATAATACATTTCTTTTCTTAAATAATTTGGTGTTGCCTTAATAACAGGATGTCACGGAAAGCAAAAAAAAGTCTAATCTAATTAGGAGCATAAGGCATCCTTTACAAAAATATACTGATTTTATAAATTAACAAAAAGCAAACAGAAGTCCATTACATTTCATTTTTAAGATAAAAAACCAAACAAAAACGATAGATAGATGAGTTATTAAGTGTTAAGCTGTATTATTTTTTCTTTAAATGAAGGGAGACTCAGACTACATAAATCGATTACCTTATTTTTGTTAATTAAATTGTATTGCGCTTGAAGCCTTTTTATAGGAGAGCAAAGACCTAAATTAGTCTTGCAATATTTTGGTGTAAACAAGGAGTATCTTGACAGACGTAGTAGTTTGCAAGTGATCGAGAAGTTAAGTTTATGTATCAATTGAGGGCAATTTATGTTACCATTTGCAACCCTATGGAGAAAAGATAAGCTTATCATATTGCGCCGATTTTTCAGCGATGAAAATTTAAAATGCCTTAAACGTTCGTTATATCCGTGCAGCTTTTTTGCGAGGTTAAATTTATAGGACAAATGATACAAGAACCTCTTTTGCACACGTTCTATTTTATTGGAGTGTACATCATAATAAGGGTTCCAAGCTGCACTGCAATATTCGAGAGTAGATCTAACCAGGCTTTCATACAATCTTATTATGGTTGATTGGTTTGGCTATAATTCTATTCATGTATTTAAACATATTTTTGCTTAGTAGTTCTTTGTTGTTAATACAAAAATACTAAACAAATAAGTATGCAGTTATGCCAAATTAATGAAATTATAGAATATAACGTAATAAATTATTTAAATTGTAAATGATGTTGTACTAATAAAATTTTTCTCTCAAACGAACACCATGGCGGACACGCTGGACCTTGTAGATTAATTAAATAATATTGTCCTGTGATGTCGTGCTCGTAGAGGCTGGTGTATATTATAAAGGCTGCCAAAATGGGTAGACGGGGTAGAGTTATTTACTTATCAAAAAAAAAGTTATGTTGTTATTTATATGAAATCACTTAAAGTATTTTATTTATTTCAGACAATGACATTCCTAAAATACCAGTGCTACGGCGATCTGAATCGGAACGGTTGACACCAACTGTTACAGTATCTCCACCAAAATTCATAGATACTATGGCTTTGCGGCCCAAAAGCAAACATGGGCATACCAGCCAAGTATTTTTGTCTCCTGTCAAAGAAACTGATACTAATCATCTTCATAATATTGAATCTGTATCCCTAGAAAACTCAATTAAACAAGATATTTCAAATACTGATAACAATGATGCTGGAAATTTGAGTGATAGTAGTGACATAACAAGTAAAATTTTGAAAAACTTACGACGGGGAATTTCTGAATCTCCTGAACCTCCACCAAGGCTTAAGGCAAAAGATCGCCTAAAATCAAAGAAACACACCTACGTGAAAACTCGATTCGTGCGAAACAATTCTGCAAGTTCTACTAGTGACGAGTGGTCAGACGCTAATGACAATGAACAAAAAACCGTTCTTAAAGTAAAGCAATTTGATTCGGATGAAGCCGATGAAAACAAAAGTATCAGTCTTTCAAAACTTAACGAAATTGAACCCAGGAAAACTTCAATTCAAATAAATGGCAATGAATGTTATTCTACAATGAATGTTAACAGTGATACGCCTATCTACTTATCATCCGTTGTGGTAAACGATGATTTTGGAAATACTTGTAGTACATATCAAACTGGTACAACAGTTACAATTAGCGTCGGCACACCACAAAAAGAAATAAAAAAATCAAAAAGTCAGATTTATATAGGGGCAGTATTATCAAATACAAATGAAACAAGAGAAGACTCAAATACATACGAAGAATATTTTAACGAAAACACTGACAAGACATCGAGGACTACTAATGAAAATTCAAATGATATATCATCAATACTAGGCGATCCAGTGGAGGCTGTAAAAAGAAATTTAGTTCCCCATGTTTGTGGCAAAAATGATGATATTTATACAAAACAACCTGAAGATGGTAATTTTGTTACAAAACTTTTTGACGACCCTTTCTTTGGTCACTTGGCAGAAGGACTTGATTCCGACTTGGTAAAGAAATTAATTGAAAATTCCTTAATAAAACTTCAAGAAACAAAACATCAAGAAGGATCCGAAAAGATGAAGATTGAAAAGCTTATAGAAAGTTCCCTCAAAAGCTTAAAACAAGAGAAAAATATATCTGACAGCAATATCACAGTAAATGATGCAGCAAAAAATAAGGCAAATAATAAAAATGATGAAATTAAAAAAGAAGAAATAACCGAAGAGTCTCTCGGCACCGACAATGATGACCATGGCTGCTCTGCTCCCTATGAAAGTATGGAGTACGAGAGCGGGGTCGTTGGTACTTTTTCTGATCTCGAACCGATGTCTGATTGTTATAACGCATCGGCAAGTGAACTATCAACAGAAGACGACACTAATTCTACAAGATCAAAATTTTACCAAATGTTAGTTGATGCTGCATTATGCGAAATCGAAATCGGAAATAACACTGACGATGATCATCATTATGAGTCGATTCGTCTTAACAGTGATCCAATATATGAAGAAATAGGTGACATGCCACCACCATTACCCGTTAATCCTCCACCTAATTCATTAATGCTTATTGATGACGAGAAACGAAGTGGTTCAAGATCTATTTTTGAAGGAGCGTCAAAGTATGATATATTGTCATATTTAGTTGATGCAAAAGAAAGAGGTATTGATGATGAAGAAACATACATAACCAATTATGCAAGTGGTAATAATAACTCCAATATGATGGATGAAACTCAAAATAAACATAATTCTAATAGGATTAATGATACGCATTTAAGCAGTAACACGAGTCACTTGTCAAATGCATCAGACTCAAGCGAAGATAATTCATTAATAATCAGTCATGAGAGTTTGGAGAAAAACGTAGTGTGTAAGAAAACATCGGCGGAAATTGAAAGGAATGATTCTGGTGTCGGTTCTGAGACAAGTAAATCATCGAGAAGCCGGCTGCAAGGAAAAACTTCACCTTGTGGTACAATCACTGACACGCCAATTCATCTATGTGAAGATTGTGATTCAGCAGTGGAAACTCAGGTTACTGAACAAGGTAAATTATAAAAAAGCCACACGTTTCGTAATATTAATATTTAAATCTCAAATATATTAAGACCACTATTGAACTTAAATTTTGTTTCAGGATCTATATACGCGCCATTAGTTTGTCGTAAATGCGCAAAGAAGCGAGCTGAAAGAAAAGAAATACTGACAGAAATTGTAGAGACTGAAGAAAAATACGGCCGGGACTTACAAATTATACTAGAAGAATTTTATAAACCCATGTTAGTTGCGGGACTTTTAACACAGGAACAACTGAGTGCTATTTTTTTAAACGTAGAAGAGCTCATTGACAATAATCAAGTTTTGTCTGAAAAATTACGTGACGCTCTAGAAATTGCACTTGATCAAGGGGATGAGGTAAGTTTACTTGTGATAATAATTACATACAATTATGATCATTGTAGTTTTAAATCAACTTTTTGTCCATAGGATTTGCTCACAGTTAACGTTGGAAAGATTCTTATTGAATGTTCGGGCATGCTAACAGCATTTCAGTCATATTGCGTGAAGCAAGCAGGTGCTGCATTGCTACTAGCTGGACTTGAGAAGGAGAAGGAACTCCTGAGGATATTCTTACGCGTCTCACAGATGGAAAACACGGTTTTGAGGCGTATGAATTTAAACTCATTTCTCATGGTAAGATTTCTTGAACGATCGTTTAAATATATTAATTTATATATACTCGTATATAGAACATTGGAGTAATGTTAATGTTTCTTCCAGGTACCAGTACAACGCGTGACAAAATATCCCCTCCTTCTCTCGCGGTTGCACCGTGCTACTGCCGCGTGCGCAACCGAACGCGAAGATGTACGCGCGGCTCAGCGATGCGTGGAATCCAGACTGGAAGAGATCAACGCTGCAGCCGCCGCCGCAGCAGCAGCGGCGCGTGATGTGCCTCTGTGGAGGCGGCTGGCGGCAGCGCGTCGTACAGCGCATGATCTCCACGTGGCTGACATCAGATTGAGGAAGATGGCAGTCGACGTACTAGATTGGAACCACGACGATGCCAGGTACGATTATAAATTTAAATTCAGGCTTTCATTCATTGGGTTGCTGTTGCACTTAGAATGTCATTTAGGTTTGTAATAATCCATTTCAATTAGAAAATGCAATCTCTGAAACACTTATTTATCAAAAACATGATGAAATTTCAAATAGAAAACTGATTGATTAATAAGCAATGGACTTACAGTTTCCGAATAATTAGAACAAGATTTAACACAATGTAGAGAAACAAAACTTCCTCTACCTACACTATAAGGAATGCAGAATCAGTAGTTCAAAATAAATTATTTAAATAGTAAATATTTGAACGGTCACGTTTAAAAACAAAAAAATTAAATTGGGTAATGAAATGAAAGCCATTGTTTTAATTAGAAACGCACATTATGTTCATGGGATAAATTGTAAATGTTTGGGCAAATTGTATTCTTGGGACATCTCCTTGCTATTGGTGGATGGAATAAATGACCCCATTACTAGATCCATTGCGGGCCGCAGGTTTGTTTCGGGCTTGAGTCACAAACTTGTTTTCCTATCTAAAAAGGTTTTTTAAATAACGTTAAAATCTCTAAAAATTAACTATTTCAAACTTTATAGTTGGAGTGATAATACTAATATTTATATATACATTAATTTATAATATTCTAGGTGCAGCAGCTTTAATGGGTTGGTTAACTAAAGCAATTTTTTCTACAACCTCAAATAATTTATAAATACGGTACGATTTTAATCTATGTTTTTCTTAAAGTGAAGTACCTGATATGCTAAATTTTATTATAGTTGTGTCAACAGTTAAAAGAACTGCCGCTACTTCCTGTCACTTATCCTACGATGTTGATAATCGTCGCTTTAGTGGCTGTAACGGCAGCAAGAGCTATTCCCGAGGGCACTTTATTGCCCTCAGCGTTACAAATACTACTAATTATACGTGTAAAAAGGGAAATAACATTTGTAAACAGTTTACTTTAGCGTTCGCTTAAAAATATGTTATTACACTATTACGAAAGCAATGTCACAAAGCTTCGAAGCGATTCTGAATTAAATTGCTCTGGTTTACGGGTCCTAAATACGTAGTAACTGGATTATTACAAAGGATATCATCCCATGCGACCCCTTTTTATGTCAGGAAAAATCTTTATTTAATATATCGAATTTGCATCAAACGATGTTGTAAAAACAATTAGGAAACCATTATCTAGATTGAAAGTATGTATATTGTTTGCGATTTATCTCGAATTAATTTGGTCGTTAGAAATATAGGGTTATGAAATATCACGATAACAATACGCGTTTTGTTTTTAAACGTTGTAGTTATAACGTGGATTGGCTTTCATGTACTTTCATATAAAAGTAGGTGCAATTTTGTTGGAATAAGTAGAATACATTTCGCTAAAGTTAAAGGTTCCTGTGGAGTTATAAAACAAAACCAATGAATACGTTCTCACAGTATGACCACATACTATTATAAAATAATATTTTATTTAATAATCTGCGCTAACGGTTAGATATTCTGATTTTTTTATCACTTTAATAGGTCCTTTAGGGATTTTTTGAATCTAGTTACCTATGTCAGTGAGGTTACTAATGCGGAAATGCGTACAACCTACAATTTATAATTGGGCTAAATTCATTTAAAATTAAAGTTAGTAGTACGTAGAAGACAACAATTTGATATGTCATTGACATCGACTTTACTACGTTTCAATAAGACCAGTTTTTGTGACTTCGCATGGAACACAACATTTTGATAATGGTTTTTGTAGCTATATATACCAATGTGTTTTTACTTATTTTAAAATTAAATTCGAAAGTACTGCGATTAAATTTGTGATCTATTGCTTCTGTCACAAGGTTCGCAATGGAAGGCAAACTGCTGTTCACCCAGCCAAACGACAACAACTGGCGGAAGGGACGCACCATCAAACTGACTCCAATCAACGCCCTTTTGGTGACTAACGGGAAGGTAAGTGTCTCCATTGTTGGGAAATGTTGTTTTGGTCTCACGAATATTGAGTTTGTAACACGGCCGGATTAAATGTCATGTCCCTTAATTATAGGTACCTCCTGTTATAGTTTTGAATCTCTGTTTGAAGAGTTGCTTGAGATAGAGCTATTCAGGTAAAAAATCATAAAAATTAATAAAGTTAGTTTGCCTTATACTTTCTCAGAAGCTTAGTTAGCTAGTTCATATTTAAAGAACATTGCTCGTTCCCCATACATTGAATGCCCTAGAACGCCCAGAAATGAGAAAATGCTAGTTGTGTTTGGAATCATTCATAAACTCTAATTAGGCATTTGTTGAGATACGGACAACTTGAGGAACCGTGGCCTACTACAGAATGTATTTGATTTTGAGGTTATAATTATTATACTTAATCGTAAAAATGTACACTTTATATATTCTGAATAGAATTAGTGTGTACCTCTATGTAAGCACTTAAATAATATGCATTAAATGAACATAAAATGCAATTAATAATAAAAATAATAAATGCTTATATTCATATTGATTAATGAGTGTTGTCAGTTGGCACCTACGATACCTATACCTTACCTGTAGTAATAATAGATTTCTTTTCAAATGAAATGTTCAGTCTTTCCATTTACCTGTTTCTATATTTTACTATCGGTAATTAGGTATGTACCTGGTTATCATTATGATTTTCATAAAAATAAACAGATATTACATGGAATGTGAGTATAAACTATCTTTACATAATTTCAGAAATAATCTTTTTATAAATATAATACTAGTAATAAGTATTATTAACTAAGGTATCTCTATTTTTCTTTTGATAAATACCTATGGTTGCCTCTAATGCATTTATTAAGGTAAACAATCTTGGCACAACTTTTAACAGAATCACCCATTTAATAATAAAATATTAACGAAGCCAATAAACTATTAAAATAAATCGTTATTATAGACTGAAACCTTTTGAATCCAGTTATCGGTTGATTTTTAATGCTGTTTTTTCAATAAAAAGGAGTGCCAATTTGGATGAATAGACTGTAGTATCTAGTAACAGAACTTTAATTTTATATTTTTTTAAACAGATTGTCCGTTTACTATGTTTAATTGCTAATATGTTAAAAAAATAATAGAAAGATAATAGTGAAGGACATTCTTTTGGGCAAGCTAGGGCCGATTTCGTCGATGTCCTTTAAAATGTCCTAGTCGCTGCCAAGTTTTTTTTATTGTTACTTCATTTTGTACTAAACTTTCGCCTGATAAAGGCCTTTGTACTCCTATTTTTTACAGATATGTTGTTTAGTATATTGTCATTGTAGAGTTAGTACTACTGATATTTATTCATAAGTTTTTATTTTTACAGCCAACGACTACTCACAAAACGAACGAGATTCGTGAAACAAGGGAAGCGCGGGATCGAGAAGCGCGCGAGAGAGAAGGAGAGGCGCTATTCGCTCGCAGCGGAGTGAGAGAGGCCGCTCTCCTGCTGGTGCGGGAGAAGGCCGGCCGATACACACTACAGAGGGAGCCACTGTTCTTAGATAGATGTGTCGTCGCCGCTGACCACGAGCCCGAACACTTCTTCGAAGTTCACGAGATCACCACCAAGGATTCTTATATATTTAAGGTAAATTATCAGGTAAGCGCGAGAGAAGGAGAGGCACTCGCAGCGGTTGGGGTAGTTTGCTCTCCTACTCTTGCGCGAGAAAGGTGAAGCAACTTTGTGATGAATGGACTGGCAACATTTTACTACTGTTGATTTATACCTAAGAAGACCTGAGACTTATTTAAAAAAGGATAGGAAGCCGTCGACGTAGAGGTTTATGTTTAAAAAAGTATTCTTTCCCTAACACGATGCAAATATGTAAAACAGAAAATATTTTGAAGTGAAAACTGCTTTAGCATCATTGTAATTTGAAACTAGATGAAACGAAAATTTTACAGTATTTGACACAAGGTATCCGTAATTTTGTAACTCTCTGCAAGAGACAGATAGCCGTACGTTAACGGTCTAGGGGTCGACACCAAATGATTGGTGGTTTGATCCTGAGCTCGGTTCTAAAGCCGCGGGCTGAAGGACTTTTACGTGTTCATATTTTTGTAGGTTTCACTTCTATCGCATGTGAACAGCACATGTTCGGTTTTTTTTTTGAATACTTATTGTCTTTGTAAATAATGTTTGATTTTTGGACAATTGTAGGTCAGATTGACATATTTTTCCTCGTTATTTTTTCAGGCGGAAGAGAACGCGCGGACTCGAACTTGGTACCGCCAGTTGCAATATCACGCACAGGGGGCTGGCGCTTGGCGCAAGCGACGCAACGCGCTCGCTAACATAATGATCAACCCGATGCTCACGAGGAACTAGTATAAAAAAACCCTAGAAGAAAACAGGCAATGTATCTCTATAGTAGTCAAAATGTCTTTTGTTCTGTTTGGGTCGCAGTAAACGTTATCTTTGAAAGTTTTATTGGGTGCATCTATCATATTTTTTTGATGGTAGTATTGTTTCTTTAGAATATTGAATCTGGCGTGATTAATTATAGCTGACATAAAGCATCCTAGTAATTTAATAAATATAGAACGAATTTGGATGAAATTTAGTACGCATATAGTTTATGAACCATAATGAGATATTATGATACTTTTTATTCCGGAAAAGTGTAAGGTTCCTGAGGGGTTCTCAAAACAAACCAAAGTTAACGCGGGCGAAGTCGCGGGCAGCTGCTAGTTTATAATAAATGTAAAAATAATATTAACTGTCTTTCTTTATAAATTTTGGTACTTAAACGCTGTACAAAGTTGCTGTATCGGTCGGGTATATAGTTTTTTTTTAATGTTGATTATTCAAAACTGTTATTTTATACTTCCTACCGATTTTTTATGATTGTTTAATTAATTTGGTCGAGTTTTACTATCTTACCAACTAAGATAGCAGCTGGCGTAATTCATGTTTTTCTTTTGCCTTCAATCTGTCTTGGAAGTTTTAATTAAAACTAGGCTTTATTTAAATTTTGTAGGCTGATCGAATCGGCAAATTGACAGCGATTTGCATTAATTGATGAATGGGGAAAATTATAATTAGTGTAAATTCTTTTTAAGGCACAAAATTCTCTTTGTTGGCAATGTTTGAAACTTTTATAATTTTGACTACACTTGGAGATATAAAATGTGAGCTTAGGGTTGAATTGGGTTGTTAGTTATCTGCCATTTTGTATAATAATAAGTTGCAAATAAAACGGTAATTTACAGCTTACTCTTATGATTGTTTTAGGTGACTTTCAGCAAAATTCTTAAATTTAAAATATAACAGCTTCAAAAATTGGCTCTATGTCAGCCGTTGAAGTCAATTCAGACGGAATGATTTTACACTAAGTTTTCTTAAAAACTTTAGTTGCAAGTGGACCTTTATTGTATCAGAGATTTCAATTACTTCTTAAGTTTTGATAAAGTTGATGTTATCACTTTCTATGTATAAAATTAGAACAGGACAAAATGTCACTTTTATTGACTCTTTGTGATGATCTCACGTTCTGAGCAAACGAGCGAGATATTACTATTGCTCTCGGCCGAGTACTCGGTACGTTTAAATATAGCGCCGAGTGCTCGGCCGAGCGATCTTACATGAGTTTTTAACTTCCATTACTGTCTCGGCCGAGACACATTTTACTGTCTCGCCCGTTTATTCGGTACGTGTGATCAAGGCATAAGTGTTATTAATTTATACGAGAAAAAATGCATCAAGTCTTTTTCCTTGATATACCTAATGTTTTAAGTAATTACTTTATATACCGTTTTATAACAGTCCCTACTGCGTATAAGGAAATCTACAATTAACACGCATTTGAATAATAATTTTAATTATTGCGGTACCTAAACAACATTTGAAGCGTAATATTATTTTTGTTAGTTTTCTATACTATGAATAACTTGTATATAAAAAAAAATATTTCATGTTTTTGCCACTAGACATTAGACTAGCTTTACACCAAAATATAGTAAGATTAACATTTTGTGCCCTACTATTACATAATTAACCTGTTTGTTTGAACTAAAACGAAAAGTTTTGTCGGTATAACGTGTAAATAAAATTATTTTAATAGCTGTGATATTCCTGTCTTATATGGAGAAACTTAATAAAATAATTAAAAATACCTTTGCTTTTTTAACTAATGAACTGTTTTTTTGTTGTATTTATGAAATTTCTTAATTTCATAATTTATTATGTCAAAAATTTTTGCACTTAAATAAGAATTAACATGTTTCGATCACAATAGGATCACTGGACTGTAAAATGTGCAAATATTTTTGTATAATTAAAAATAATGTACATTTTATCGTGTATTAATAATTTAGTTCTATTGTATTTCATTCTTCAAAACCTTTGTGTTTCAATAAATATGATAAATGTCATTATTTTCTGACTAGTCTTAAGAAAAATATCTTTTCTTTTGTAATTAAAATATAATAAATAAGGGGATTAAGTATTGAAATGTATTTATTGTATGTATTAGTAACGGTTAAGTGAAAAATAAAAATCCTAAATTTTAGATATATCAAACAAGAATATTTCGCCTTTACAATATTGTGTATTTGTTATGTAATTATTAGTTATAGCGAGCAAATAAATTAATAAATTAAACAGTGTTCATGATTTCTTCAATCCTTTGAATTTAGATTACTGCGAAAAAGATAAATTTTACTCTTCGTATTTCCGATAGAAATAGCTTACGATTCATAGGTCCATCCATCCATACGTTCCCAGCAAACTGTTATCGGTAGGTATATCCTTTAATTTTATCTTGTTGGATAAACAGATGTTTGTAAACAAATGTATCCAAATGAATAAGATAAAGAAGATCCCTAACACAGTATAAATTATTTACATCAAATCCAGCCCGGGTAAGGTTCGCAAAACAAACCGGACCTAACTGTACACACAAAAAAAGTAGGTAAATGTTGTGCTAACAGTACCCGAGGGATAAAACCCACGTATTTCATTGGAACCATTTTCACTGAGGCATTTTACGGTTATAAATAAACGGCACGGCCGCACTGCATTTATTTCGCAGAGTTGGGATAGATAACTACTGGTAATAGATACTCATATATTTTGCGGACACTTTTGGAATTTTTCTTGCCTCCTTTTGCCACTGGATTGCCTAAGGTTCCTTTTGTAACTATTTGGAAGAAAGATATTGTTTCATATCAACATAACTGTAACTAAATAACCCCATCAGGTTTATGTGTACTCCAAAAAATTCATAAGGCCCCTTTTAGGAGAAATAATTTCAAAGTAGAATTTGCTTTGCCTATTTAAGAGTTTTCGTATGAAAAGCTCAGGCTACCAAGTTAAGTCTAGGGCTACCCGTAGTTGCTTGCGAAAAGCAAAGAGTATTTATTACTTGAGCCTTGGCTGACATCATCCCTCTATGTTGTTGAGCTTTTATAATTTGCATATTAGTATCTTTTTGCTTGTATTATGGGAGCCTAAGCGGGAAGTTTGGGATTTACTCGAGTGCGGCAGAATAACATAAGGGGGGAGGGGGGCTATGTTCCTATGTTATCTGCACTTTACCTTGCACCTTGTTAAATACTCCTTCTGACCCTGACCTGAGCCCTTTATATAGGGTCGATTTTAAATATGTTTATTACGTTTAAATTTTCTACAAAAATAAAGTATACTTAGCTACATTTCAAGTAAGTATAGCCCCTTCGTACACTGCGCTTGTGTACACACACAAATCTTCGATACCTAACAAATTAGGTTTCTAAGCGTGGAGGTATGTTATTTTATATTGCACCATTTTATACTGTGTACCTCTTTATGAAGACTTAATTATTTACAAGGATATTGTGGAATACACTTTTGATGTGAACATGGTAAAGAAATTTATGAATTTTCAAACATTTTCTAAGAAAATATTCTTATAAAATCTTGGATAAACCCCAATAGTAAGTCATTTATTATGAGTTTGACAGGCGCATTCTTGAAGCTTCGAGAAAAATATGTTTATATGAATAGGTATAGGAATTTGGTGTATCAAATCTCTATTTAGCAAATTAACCCACCCTGTAAAAACACAGAATACTCCTGCACCAGTAACCGGAGAGTTCCGGGCGTAATTGAGGCACACCGTTAGGTAGGACTAGCTATATACTCGCCGGTGATTGTCCGCGAACAGACTCCCGATGTAGATGCCTCAAAGTACAAGGGGCCTCTTTTTCTAGGAAGCCTGTGCAATGCGAGACTGACTCCCTCAAGTCAGACCCACAGTCTCCGGCACGGAGTGATAGGAAAAGCTTAGTTCTCTCCGACCCTCTCCCCCCGAAGAGAAGAGCTGTTTGAGCTGTCGTCCTCTTCTAATTTTATCCCACCCTGCTGTTAAGTAAGTGAATCCCAGTCCCATCCTATCCCAGTCACGAAGATTGCTGATAAAAAGCGTGACACTCTAGCTATATTCATTCTGCCGGCCGGAACCCCATTCCCTGCTCTATGGAAACACAAGAATACAAAAGTAATGCTATATTACTGGGGTCTTCTGTAAGGCGGAGAATAAATACCCCAGCCAAGTTAATTTCTACCAATTCTAGCTGGAAATCCATTATGTCCAAACCTCTCTTAAACTGCTGTCAAGTTATATATGCCATTCAAAAAGACATTCTCGGAGCTCGATGGTGCAGCTTTTCAGCACGTTCGACCTGCGACCGTAGAAATTAAGCAACTTTCGCAATGGTCGGTCATTGGAAGAGTGACCAACAACTTATTATCTTGAACTCCTCCGTGCTTTGGAAGGCATGTTAAGCCGTTGGTGCCGGCTGCATCTGTAGCCATTCATCATGAGCCGATTAATGTCCCCAATGCTGGGGCACAGGCCTTCCCTATGGATGGAATAGGGAGATTGGGCCATGACCCACCATGCGGGCCCAGTGCGGATTGGTGGGTGCTAACGACTGCAGATGCAGCCGGGATCAACGGCTTAACGTGCCTTCCGAAGCACGGAGGCGGTCGAGAAAGCAATTTTTGGTCACCCATCCAATGACCGACCACTGTGAAAGTTGCTTAAGTTCAACGATCGTAGCCGAACGCGCTAACTACTTGCGCCATCGAGCTCATCAAGCTCTGCAGCCATTAGGCCCTACTAATGGGCCCGTGTGGTGGCTTATGGACTCATGGTCCAATCTCCCTTATTCAGCAGTCAGGACATTAATAGGCTGATGATATTCGTCTCGCAGATTCCCTTTCGGTTCATCGGGTCGGCGCTTGTCCACGGCTGCACAACTTTTGGAGCCTTCAACCTCTAAGGAATAAGGGGATTATTATGTTTTCGTGGGCAGCATATTGGTACTTATAATGTTTATAATATA